TACATGTTACTATTATTGCTATTGTGTAACTGTCTATTGTCTCATCTTCTGTCCTATTTATATACTGCACCTGAGTGACTAATGAGAAACACTTTTCATTATACTATGCACCTGTGTAAGTTTAATGACAATAAAGTTGAATTGAATTAATACAATTAATCTGTGTTATTACGCGAGTTTCCAAAACACGGATTGGCCCATATGCGATTGGTAAACAGGGGAAAGATGTCTGTATAATGCGAAACTCACGTTGGCTTATACACGATTCCATCCCCAACAAGTTTACGTTTTGTGGTGCGGAGTAACACAAATGAACGCAGCAGTCCGCAGAGGAATACACATGATGCTAAGTTGTCCCGTGTGCTTTGTTTTGGAAGTCGTAATTGGGAGGTGCTCCTCAATTTTCGTGCTATTTTCACTAAATCTTCTAAATTGCTGTAAATATGAGTGGACAAGAATCTGTCTAAGAAGTGTGCTGGTGATAAAATAAAAATAAAAACTTTTTTTCAAGGTAAAGTCCTAAATTTACTGTATTATTTCTTTATGTATTATGAAGTTAACGTATTTAAACTGTGCTAACATTTTTATTAGGATACTTCTTAAATTTGGTAAGATTTGGTTAGGTTTTGAGTGGTCTGTCTCTAACCCTATTTTTCCCATAAGCCCTATTATTTTTATTGCACAATTTTGAATAATGCGAGGTTTTACAACAGGGGTGTCCAAACTTTTTTTATTGGGGGCCATATGGAGCGGCAGGCCACAGGCTACCTCTAATAATAAAAATGAACAAAATACCAGATATAAGTGCATTTCATACTGTAAGCTTGAAATGACCTATATAAATAATTATATTATCTAATTTTAATATACATGCAATATTTAACTAACTTAACTCACTAGTGATGACTTTACTAATGGGAATAGTGAAATAACTTGCGGGCCGTTTCAGTAACAGTGGGGGGCCGCAATTGCCCCGCGGGCCATAGTTTGGACACCCCTGTTCTACAGGAACGTCTCTATTGCGTTATAGCAGAGATGCCTGTATTAGTAAAGGGAGAGTGGATGAAACTGTTTCCTAAGCTCAGCCTGAGTCCTGTATGACAACTGAAAAGACATTCTCAAAACAGTGTACATCATCTAAAGGAAGTATGTCATGCGATTTCATGTGTCATGGTGCTCCAATCCTACTAATGGAGGTCATCACTGTCAAGACTGTGCATCATGCTCATGTTATCTGTGGCTATAATTTTAGTGAGGATGAGGAGGAAGAAGGATTCGGCTCACATGTTTTGTGCCCTCTATGTGTTGTTAAGCAAAACACTAGGGGTGGGTTCCACCTCTGGAAAAAGTACTGCAGTATACCCCGGTACACATGCATGTACCGCGATACGTACCGTAAACTATTTTGCATGTTTATATATGGATACTCTGTCATAGTTTGATTTCATGATTAGTAAAGCATATTGAGTTGTATACAAAATAAAGTAATGAAAAGAACTAGAAATAACACTGAACAATGTAACAGAACAATTTAAAAACATGAAGATTTTGTGTCAGTCATTAAATGATGAAATCTTTTTTCACAAGTATTGGAGGTTAATTTTGCTTAGCAAGATCATTTTATCTTTCAAAATATGAAAGGTGCTTGTAAGTTAACATTTTTTCAATACAATAGCCTGTCCAGTACATTTAAATGATGACAGAAAGTTTTAGTTCATTGTTTGTTTGACATTAACAATAACAGACCTGTTTGTGTTATTAAAACACATTCACTTTACAATATATTTTTGTAATTCAACAGAATGACACATTATTGGAAGGGGAAATAAGTTTGCAGTAAGTGACACTGAATCAAATATTATATTGTCTGCATTTACAAATAACGGACCAGTGAGTCTTACTTTTAAGGAAAGCCTTAACAGCAAATGGAATACAGTTTAGCTGTGAATAACAGACAAAACAGACAATGCTGGAATACAATGTTTAAGGGTCTTTATTTTCAATCCCAACTACAGGAATCGTCACTCTCTAAAATTTGCAGTGCTAAACCTGTGGTACATATGTAGCCACTAAAACACGTGGTATTTCTTCCAAATATAAATATAAATATAAAAGTTGAGTTGTGCATTGCGGTACGTAATTCACTGGCCAAAGGTGATCGATAGGTGGCACCTGTGGTGCATTAGATCTTAGTGAAACAATTGCTTCATTTAATATCTCTACTGTGCATTTTTACCATGGAATTTTACAACTGAAGAGAAATTTTGGTAGCTGAGCATAGAAATAACAGGAACATAATGTCTCTGAAAGTCATAAATGATATAAATTTACTAATATAAATATACATACTGTATATGGCTGATACTGGTAGCTAAAGTAAAAAAATACATTCTTGATAATTATAATCGAGATGAACAAAGTAGTATTAAAAGGACCACTGTAACTGAACTATAATAACGTGTCTTACCATTATTATAATAATTTATTATTAATAAATAATAATTTCAAACTGCTTGTATTTTGTTTAGGGTCATTTGTCACTGTTTTCATAGCATTCACTTTTTTATTAAAATGCTTATTTTTGAGAGATGATACTTCAGATGTCAATATTTGTGAACACAGAACCTTCAAAACACATACATTTTTTAGATTGCGATTTGAGAAAAAATTCACAACTTTTAAAAACATCAAGTACCTGGTTCCATTTTTAGAAACCTGATTTTGAATAAAGCAGATCCCAGGTGTAAGGGTTTTATAACATGAGAATTACTATTAAAAACCTACTGTATGTATGCAAAACACCTGACCATTTAAGCAGAATAACATGAACTCATGGGTTCAACCCATCTTTAGTTTGAGAAACTCTGTATTTTCTGTTTTTATTCAGATAAAAATAAACTATATATGGAATTCTTTGACAGGAGGAAAGACGTTCTGTGCTCGATAGCTTTTTCACCACAGCGTGCATTATGTTCTATTTTTCATTTTTGAGAGACTTCAGAGCACTTCGACAGATGCAAGCAAAATGTAACATAATACTGTAGGTCCCACCGCTACCTGTACTGGATAAAGCAGTTAGACCAGGTGGATTTATACTTGTAAAAGCATTCTAATTTAAATGCAGAACAGAAGATATTATTAATAATATTAATAATGAACATTAACCAGTTTGCAAACATGGATACTGTCAATAACAGGGGTAAAAACAAGCCTTAAAACAGAATTGTATATATATTTTATCATTATAATCTAGAATAAAAAAATGGTATTGAAAAGGCCACTGAAAAATGTACTGAAGTGTGTGAAAAGATCTGTGTGTAACTGCAGCCAAAACGCAGGTTATACTTTTAACAAACTGTCTTTTGGAGTATTCAATGCTTTCTTGGTGTGTTGCCTACTTGCAGTGGGTGGAGAGTGTGTAGGGTACAGCTAAGCTTGCATTTGAATTGGCAATCTCTTTTCTTGTCTGAGAAGGCTTTGGAGCAGTTTACAACAATTTTTTTTGTGATGTAACTTTGAAGTGCAATGGCAAATGAAACCAATTGTAAATAAAAGGATATTGTCAGTTGTAAGTATTATGATGTTTACATTGATGTATTTATTAATTTTATATATAGCAGTATATTTACATGACAGGAGTATCAGAAGTTAAGGAGTTGGCCCCACCACCCCTAGGACAGACTGACAAAGCAATTTGGAAGGTTTAACAATCCAGTCGTTGCAAAAGGTGCCACTGCAGCAGCCACAAATAAATACAACTTTATGAACTTTTTTTATTTTGATTAGGACACTAGAGAAATAATATTGATTAAAACGTATAACTGTAATAAATTGTCACTTTTCACACTTGTGTGTAACAAATACGAGGTCATGAAACTTCTTAATTTTTGAAGAATTTGCTGCCAATAAGTTTCAGAGCATCATTAACAATATTAATTTATTGATATAGATATGTGTATTTAGCTGGTTGTGGCATTAAAGCAGTTCTCTATAACATCCATCTGCCAAGCTTTATAGTGGGGATAGTTTTGACTTGGTTATGTGCAGTGTTATTTTGATATCAGACGTGGTGCATTTAAGTCATCCATCCATCAATTTTGCAACCAGATGAAAAGGAGGCAAGGCAGTGAACACTGTGGACAGAACTCCAGTCCATAGCAGGGCATACACAGACACAGGCAGACTTAACCTGCAGTATATTTTTGAACTTTGGGAGGAGACCCAAAAGGACGCTGGGAGAACATACAAACTCCAAGCAGATAGCATCCCAGGTCCAGAACACAACCTGGGCCTCAGCACTGCGAGACAGCGCTGCTAATTACTGCACAACTGTGAAGCTCGAGTTTAAGCCAAAAAGCTTGTGTCCCTTCAGACCCAAAAACTTTTTGCCACATGTTTGCATGGGGTTTTTACAGTACATGCAGGCCAGCATCGTGGACAGGGATATTATTGACTGATGGACATTTTCTCTGTTGAATTCTGTACCTCTTTCAGAGTTGTTAGCCTCACATTTCCTGTTTAATACTTATCCAGTTGCTTAGTTAAGAGGGACTGCATGACCTAGAAGGAGGTGCTTATTTGTGCAAGGCACTGTATGGTCTTTTCAAAGCTGGAAAATAGTTTGACAGAAAAATATGTATGTTTTTCTGTCAAAAAAAACATACATGTTGGTCATTGAGATTTTCTGTGGTTCCCATGAGAAGATGACTTTTAGGTGGCACTTGGCACTTGGAATCTTTGTTTTTTTTTTAGTTGAAAAGCAATTAAAGCAGGGACTTGGACAGAGATTTTTAGTTTACTAGGTATGAAGTGTGTTGGCAGAGGTATGAGGTATGAAGATGACTTTTAGGTGGCACTTGGATGCTTTGGTTTTTTTTAGTTGAAAAGCAATTAAAGCAGGGACTTGGACAGAGATTTTTAGTTTACTAGGTATGAAGTGTGTTGGCAGAGCCAGATTCCTGAGGTAAATAAATGATAAATGTTTTAATTTTTTTTAACAGGGCTATCCATGATGTGAAAGCTACAGATATGGGTTTAAGCAAAGTACGCTTCAAGGCAGAAGTGGATTTTGATGGGAGAGTCGTTACCAGGTCTTATCTGGAGAAGCAAGATATTGAACAAATATTACAGGTATGTGTGAAGAGTCATTAGCATGCATCTTTCAAGCAAGATTTTGGCCTTTTTAAAGAATGTATACTGTGGACTCTGAAATTATGTGCACACCTTGACAAATATGAAGAAAAAAAGAGGTATAAAACAGATAGGTTTATTAAGCACTGCAATATATTTTCAATATAAGGAATAAATTATCCTGGATTCATGATTTAATGGAATTAACTAAGACAAATAAACAATTTCATTATAAATTATTTTTATACAGTTATTGGCACCCCTGTTTTTAGTATTTGGTGGAGCCTCCCTTGGCAAGGAAGCAGTAAGTCTTTTCTTGTAGTGCTTTATCAGGTTGGTGAATAAATTGGGAGGAATCCTCTACCGTTCCTCCATGCAGAACCTTTCCAGATCCTTGAGGTTTGTAGGTGTGCGTTTTTGGACAGCCCTCTTCAGCTCAGACCACAGGTTTTCAATAGGGCTTAAGTCAGGGGACTGAGATGGCCATGGCAAAACGCTGATTTTGTTTTCTGTCAAGTATTTCTTTGTTGATTTTGAAGTGTGTTTTGGATCATTGTCATGTCGAAAGATCCATCTTCATCCAAGGTGCAGCTTCCTGGCAGAGGCAACCAGGTTTTTGGCCAAAATATCCCGATACTTTTGAGAATTCATGATGCCATGGATCTTAACAAGGGTCGCAGGACCACTGGCAGCAAAGCAAAGATCCCCCGGCATATTTTAAAGTAGGTATGATGCTCTTTTCGGTACATATATCCCTCTTCTTGCACCAAACATACCTGTGATGACGGTGGCCAAAAAGTTCAAATTTGGTCTCATCTGACCACAGCACCCGCTTTCACTCAAAGTGCCAGTGGCAAACTCCAGGCGATTCAGTTTGTTCCTCCGCAACAGTAAAGGCTTTCTTCTGGCAACCCTTCCAAATAGCTTGCTGGAATGGATGTGTTGTCTAATTGTCATTTTTGAGACGGGATGACCCCACGATGCAACCAATCCTTGTATTTCCTTAACTGAAACCTTTGGGTTTTTCCTTGCCATCCTCACCATCCTTCTCACTGTGCATGCGGAGACGATGGGCTTGCGTCATCTTACTGGCAAATTAACCACTGTTCCAGTGGTGTTGAATTTTGTGAAGGCTTTCTTCTGGCAACCTTGCGGATTGCTAAAGTAGGTGAGCCCCACACTATTTGTGAAGAATTTTGTTTACCGTTGGCAAAAGAGCTGACACATATTATGTGTGGAGAAAAAGCTGCTAAACAGCTCGACCTGCTGCCGCTTTCGAATGACACAGTCACTGGTAGAATTATTGATATGGCAGATGATGTCACAAGTATGCTGATAGAGCGCGTTAAGATGAACAGATGCTTTTCACTGCAATAAGATGAGTCTGTAGATGCCGTTGATTTGGCAAATTTGCTTGTTTATGTTAGATATGAGTTTGAGGGCACATCCCATGAGGACTTTCTGTTCCATAAGCCACTACCACAAAAGGTACAGGAGAGCACATATTTCAGCTTCTGAATGAATTTATCGAAGAGAATAGCATAGACATAAATGTCGGAATTTGTACAGATGGTACTAGAGCGATAGCAGACAGACACAGTGGTGTAGTTGCACGAAAGAGAGGACGCACTGCAGCATCGACCTCCAGGCCTTGGCAGTCAAATAAAATAAGATACTTTATTAGCCATATACAATTTCTTGTATTAGGAATTTGTTTTTTTGCATGCCCCAGCTTGCTCTCCGTGAGACACACAGGCACACAGATAGGGAGAGATAAGCTTGGGGTCAGAGCGCAGGGTCAGCCATTTATATGGCACCCCTGGAGCAGTTGGGCTTAAGGGCCTTGCTCAGGGACCCAAAGGAGTAGGATTCCTCTGCCGGCTGCGGGCTTTGAACCGGCAACCTTTAACCGGCCACCGCTCCGCCCTCAGATTTTAAATGCCTGAGAATTTAAAAGCTGTTTGACTCTGCTGTCAAAGTTGTGAATTGTATCAAGGCCCAACCAATGAATTCACATATGCTTTGCGCGACTAAACAGGCCCGCCCCTCTCACTGAAATGGTAAGTTCTCAGTGCTATTTTTATTATATGTGTCTGTGAGTGTGTGTGTGCACGCACTCATGTTGGTCATTGAGATTTTCTGTGGTTCCCATGAGAAGATGACTTTTAGGTGGCACTTGGATGCTTTGGTTTGATCATGGTTGGTACTTGGTCCAAAAAGTTTGAGAACCACTGATCTAAGTGGTTTATTTTATGAAGATGTTTTTCTTCATATTTATCAAGGGGTGCAAATACTTCTGGAGTCCACTGTAGAACCTGAAAGTTATTCTAAACATTAAAAATGAACAAAGCAAATTTAGAAATATTATAAATGCTTAATTGGCTTGTTTTTAATAGATGGTGGGTAAAAATGCTGGCCTTTACAGCTTGTTAATAAAAGACCAAATTAAGCTTTTGTTTCTGTTTTGGGTGACTGAATCAAGAGATGTCTTGGTCAGTGTTAAAAAATGGAAGGGTCGTTATATACTTGACGGTAATATACGGTAAGTTAGATGTGCATTAAATGTACACAAGCTTTATTATAAAACACAGTATATAAATTAAATTGTTTGCTGATTACTCATTGGTGAAATTTGCATTAAGGCACAATATAAATGATCTAAGTGCGGAAGTAAATCTGAAAGAAGCACATCTTGTTTAGAGCAAACCACAGTATAATAATTAAATAAACTCCTAATAATTATTAATTATATTTATTATTAATAAACAAACGTTTTTGTATATCAAACTGTAATTTTGTTTTTGTTAATAAAAATAATATGAATTAATATTAATTCAGTATTTTACATACTGTAATACACTGTAGTGTATTATATTTTAAATTTTAAAAAGTTTGAGCAGTATACATCTTAAATTCTATAATTTCAAAAAAGATTGTCCCTCAGCATTGACCAGGATTTGAAACTAGGCATTTTCTGGCGACAGCCCAAATGCTTCCACATGCCAGGTTAAGTTTTCCAAAGTAGTGCAGTTCAACAACAGAATTTTTTTTTAAAAGTGCAGGATGCAAATGGTTAATGAAAAATGGTACACAAGGCTTCAAATACAGCTCTGCAATATTAAACCTTGTTAATATCATATTTAAAAAAGAAAATACTTCAGAATGGGAGGAATCAGGTGTGTGTAAAAGTAAAGAAAAAGTATTTTACTGGGTGAGCTATCAGTAAAGATAATATATTACAAATATCGTGGTTATTTAAAGTATTTCCCTCGCATTTTTACCTCTTATCATCTTGTAAATGAAATCATAATGTATTTAATTGGAACTGATTAACACAAAACACTATATAACACCTGTGGGAAAACTACGGCCTGCGGGCCAGTTTTAACCGGCCCTTGAGCTAAAAAATAAATTAGTCAGTATTCGCCATATTCCACTTTATTTTGTACTGTTTATTGTTACATTTTATTATTTGTGCCGTTAGATGGCGCACGAATGTTTTACCACAGTGATTCTAAACTGTGCATCGCACCACCTTGGGAAGGCGTTATTGTTGGTCAGAGGAGTCTCAGGTATCGCCAGTCAAAGAAAAATTTTATTACGAGCAAAACCCGCTGTTCGTGCACACAGAATGTATGAGTCGCACACTACCTAACTAGATGGTGTCAGATGAAAGTCGACAATCTGTAAGCAGCGTTACCGCGGCTTCGGTGTTTCATGTTTCTATGAATGGGTCATTTTGTGAGTTTTCTGTTACACGATCACAATTGAGAGGTTTTTAAATCTGAGTAAAAACCGGGACATGGAGCATAATTCTAAAGATAAATGGAAACGCAAATACAGAAAGTATGACGACAGTTTCTTGAATTTCGGTTTCACATGTGTTGAAGAAAACTCAGTCTTCACTCAGGTTAGGAGATTGTCAAACAGAGATCTTTAATACAATCAGCTGAAGGGGAGCATATCACAGAGAAAGGGTTTCCCCTAGGACTCAAGACATGCTCACTGGACTGAAGTTATACTTTCCTTTTTATACATTAAAAGTAGGCAAGACTTTAACATATCAAAGGAACATACAGGGAAAGGGGCAGTGTCAGAAGTCAAACAAACAGGACAGGGGGATGCCATTTGGCATCCTACAATCTGTTTCATTTCTCTCTGGTTGAATGGTTGTGAGGAATCACAGGCTTTAGTTTGCATCTAAGACAGTGGTCTTAGGTGCAAACAGAAAACCTTTCCCGCGCATAGTCACTGTCCTGACCTTTTGACTCAGTCTTCCACACTCCCCCCTTTTGTGCATTAAAGCACAACCACTCCAATGGTGTGCTCCAATGTATACTCCAATTACACAGCCCAATAAGAGCAATAATCCCTGCAATATAAAGGCACATCAATTTCCTAATGCACCACTGACCCAGCCCCATAGGGTCCATCCTGGGGTTTTGTGTAGTTTAGCGGCTTCCTTACGAATGTGTTCAGTAAGATCGTAGATTTCTTCTGAGCTGTCTGCAAGGTAAGTACAGCACTCAGAGCCTATGAGGGCACAGGTCCCCCCTTTTGCAGCTAACATAAAGTCAAGGGCCATCCGATTTTAGAGAACCATGGTTCGCATTGCTACCAGCTCGGCAGACAGTTTGTCAAGGGCTTCTACAGTGTCATTGCTGACACGTTCCAGGATGCTCACGAGGAGCCGAATTTCCTTCTTGGCCCTGCCATCCCCGTACATGGGGAACAGGACAGCTGCCAGCCGGTCGCCTTCGGAGATGGCCTGTTTGTTTCGGTTATCATAGTGCTTAAAAGGGAGAACAGTAGAATGCCGCATTGCTGGGGTAATGTATCCTATGTAACATGACCCTGCCTAGTCAGGTGGAAGCCAGGGATATGCTTGATCCCCACAAATGAAATAAGTCCCATTGTAACTTCGCATTCCAGAGGATTTGAAAGTACTGGGTTGCATAAAAAACTGAGGAAGGGTCGGTACGGTTAACTATCTTCATGGT